GGAAGGCTGAGGCGGAAGGATCGCCAGAGCCCAGCAGGTCGAGGCTGCAGTGGCGGGAGCGGCCACTGTACTCCAGTCTGGGCGACAGAGTGAGACTCCAACTCAAAAATATATATAAATAAAATAAATGAAAAACAGAATTATGGTCAGGCTCGGTGGCTCAGCCTATAGTCCCGCGCCTTGGGAGGCTGAGGTGAGTGGATTGCTTGAGCCCATGGGTTCAAGACCCACCTGGGCAAATTGGTGAGACCTCATCTCTACAATAAATCAAAAATTAGCCGGGTGTGGTAACACACGCCTGTTGTTCCAGCTACTTGGAAGGCTGAGGCGGAAAGATCGTCAGAGCCCAGCAGGTCAAGCCTGCGGTGACTGAGAGCTGCCACTGCACTGCAGTCTGGGCGACAGAGTGAGACTCCAACTAAAAAAAAAAAAAACAAAATTATAATAATACTAGCTTTTGTAATTGCTCGTGTATTTATCTTTACCAGAGATTTTTTTATGTCTTTATATTGCTTCAAGTTTTTGTCTAGCATCTTTTTATTTCAACCTGTAGGACTCCTTTTTGAAATTATTGCAGGGCAGGTCTACTTGTAACCACCTTTTTTGCTTTGTTTATCTGAGAAAGTCTTAATTTCTCTCTCATTTTTAAAGAGTAGTTTTTATGGATATAAAATTCCCGGCCACCGCAGCCTCCACCTGCTGGGCTCTGGCGATCCTTCCGCCTCAGCCTTTCGAGTAGCCGGAACTACAGGCGCGCGCTACCACACCCGGCTGATTTTTTGATTTATTGTAGAGATGAGGTCTCGCCAAGTTGCCCAGGCGGGTCTTGAACCCGCGGGCTCAGGCAATCTACTCACCTCAGCTTCCCAAAGGCGCGGAATTAGAGGCTGAGCCACCAAGCCCAGCTGGATATAAAATTCTTAGTTGACATCTTTCAGCATTCAAAATATATCCACCCACTGTCTTCTCACCTCTAAGGTTTCTGATGAGAAATAAGCTCATAATCTTATTGAGGATTTCTTATGTGTGATAAGTCTCTTCTCTATTTCTGTTTTCTAGATTCTCTCTTTATCGTTGGTTTCTGTTTGATTATAATGTGTCTCAGTATGTGTATCTTTGAGTTTATTCTACTTACAGTTCACTGAGCTTTTTTGATTTGTAAATTCATATCTTTCATCAAATTTGGAATGTTTTCAGCCATTATATCTTCAACTGTTTTTTCTGTTCCTTTTCCTTCTGAAGTTCCCACAATTCATATATTGGTCTGCTTGATGGTGTTCCACAGGTGCCTTAGTCTCTGTTCACTTTTTTCCTTTTTATTTTTTCTATTCCTCAGATTTGATCATTTCAACTGTCCTGTCTTCAAGTTTGCTTTTCTTTCTTCCACTTGCTCAGATCTGCTCTTGAACTCCTGTAGTATATTTTTATTTCAGTTATTATCCTTTTCGACTCCAGAATTTCGTTTTAGTTCCTTGTCTATCTCTTTATTTATATTCTCATTTTGTTTATACATAATTTTTCTGTCTTTGTTCATATCTTCCTGTAGCTCTTTGGACTTTTTTTTGTTTTTGAGTTGGAGTCTCACTCTGCTGCCCAGACTGGAGTGTAGTGGCATGCTCACAGTCACCACAGCCTTGACTTGCTGGGTTCAGGCAATACTTCCACTTCAACCTTCCAATAGCTAGAACTACAGGCATGTACCACCACTCCCGGCTAATTTTCGATTTATTGTAGAGATGAGTCTCACCATGTTGCCCAGGGTGGTCTCAAACCCATGAACTCAGGCAGTCCTCTTACCTCTACCTCTCAAAATGTTTTGCCCCCATTTTTATGTGTTTGTGTCCAGCTAGCTCTTTGGATATTTTTAAGACAGTTGTTTTCAAGTCTTTCTCTAGTAAATCTAACTTCTGGGCTTCCTCAGGTACATAGTCAGTTGATTTGTTTTTGTTCCATTGAATTGGCCATACATTGCTGTTTCTTTTTTTTTTCCTTTTTTTTTTTTTTTTTTTTGAGTTTGAGTCCCACTCTGTCACCCAGGATGGAGTGCAGTGGCACACTCACAGCCACTGCAGCCACAACCTGCTGGGCTCAGGAGATCCTTCTACCTCAGCCTTCCAAGTAGCTGGAACTACAGATGCACGCCACCACGCCCAACTAATTTTTTTATTTATTGTAGAGATGAGGGCTCCCCAAGTTGCCCAGGCTGGTCTCGAACCCGTGGCCTTAGGCAATCCTTTCACCTCAGCCTCCCAAAGTACTGGGATTATAGATGTGAGCCACCACGCCCTGTCACTTTCCTGTTTCTTTTGTTTGTTTGTTTTTGTTTTGAGTTGGAGTCTCACTCTGTCGCCCAGACTGGAGTGCAGTGGCTGCTTCCGGCCACCGCAGCCTCAACCTGCTGGGCTCCAGCAATCCTTCCACCTCAGCCCTCCAAGTAACTGGAGCTATAGGCGCGCGCTACCACGCCCGGCTAATTTTTTGATTTGTTGTAGAGATGAGTTCTCGTCAAGTTGCCCAGGCCGGTCTTGAACTCGCGGGCTCAGGTAAACCACTCACCTTGGCCTCCCAAAGTGCTGGGATTACAGGCTGAGCCACCGAGCCCGGCCTCCTGTTTCTTTGTATGTTTTGTATTGTTGGTGAAAACTGAACATTTAAATCTTATAATGTAGTAACTCTGGAAATCAGATTCTCTTCCTTTCACATGATTTGCTGGGTTTTTTTAAATGTTGTATAGTATTTCTGTGTGGGAAATTAGCCTGAAATGAAAGTTTAAGATCTTCTTGGGTCTTTTTTTTTCTTTTTTTTTTTTTTTTTTTGAGTTGGAGTCTCACTCCATTGCCCAGGCTGGAGTTCCTTGGCACACTCACGGCCACCCCAGCGTCGACCTGCTGGACTATGGTAATCCTTCCGCCTCTGCCTTCCAAGTAGCTGGAACCACAGGCGTGTGCCACTATGCCCGGCTAATTTTTGTTTTACTGTAGAGACAAGGTCCTGCCAAGTTGCCCGGGCTGGTCTGGAGCCCATGGGCTCAGGCAATCCACTCGCCTTGGCCTCCCAAAGTGCTGGAATTACAGGCTGAGCCACGGAGCCCAGCTTTCTTGGGTCTTTTCTAAGGCTACATCTTTCCTGGAGAATGCACAGTGACTTTGTAAATGCCCCCATTTTTATGTGTTTGTTTTGAATATAAAAGCAAGCAAACAAACAAAAAAAAGGTGCTGCTCCTTTAAATTCCCTGGAAATTTCTTCAACTGTTGGAGGTTAGAACAATGGCAGCCAGTCTCTCATCAATGTGCCTGCAACTCAGCGATCAAAAGCAACAATACATAATCAGAATACAGAATCCCTCTTTCATTTAGTTTTGTAATCCCATTTTTAGTTAATTGTTGTGTGTGGTGTGAAAGAGTTCCAACTTCATTCTTTTGCATGAGAATGTCCCAACACCATTTGTTGAAAAGTCTAGGCATTCTTCCATTGAGTTGCGTTGGTACCATTGTCAAAAATCATTTGACCATAGAGCTATACATGTGGGTGTATTTCTTTTTTTTTCTTTTTTTTTTTTGCGTTGGAGTCTCACTCTGTCACCCAGACTGGACTGCAGTGGCCGCTCCCAGCCACCGCAGCCTCGACCTGCTGGGCTCCGGTGATCCTTCCGCCTCAGCCTTCCAAGCAGCCAGAACTACAGGCGCATGCTACCACACCTGGCTAATTTTTGATTTATTGTAGAGATGAGGTCTCGCCAAGTTGCCGAGGCGGGTCTCGAACCCGCGGGCTCTGTCAGTCCACTCACCTCAGCCTCCCAAAGGCGCAGGATTAAAGGCTGAGCCACTGAGCCCGGCTGGGTTTATTTCTGAACTCTTTTTTATCGATCTGTATGTCTTTTGTCTGTAGTTATGCCGATACCACATTATCTTGATTATTGCAGCTTTTTAGTAATTTATAACCTGGAAATATGAGCTCTTCAACTTTGTTTTTCCAACAAAGCCTGGGCAACATAGCAAGACCTCATCTCTACAAAAAAATTAGCTGGGCGTGGTGATGTGCACCTGTAGCCCCAGCTGCTCATGAGGCTGAGGCGGAACAATCACTTGGGCCCAGGAAGTCAAGGCCGTGGTGAGCCGTGATCAAGCCACTATACTCCAGCCTGGATGATAGAGTGAGACCATACTCCTTCCTCCCAAAAATACAAGAATGATTAACAGTGTCACAGAAAGGTCATATAAGAACAGAAATAAGCCGGGCTTGGTGGCTCAGCCTGTAATCCCACACCTTTGGGAGGCTGAGGTGAGTGGATTGCCTGAGCCTGCGGGTTCGAGACCCGCCTGGGCAGTGAGACCTCAACTCAACAATAAAATCACAAAATCAGCCGGGCGTGGTAGCGCATGCCTGTAATTCCGGCTACTTGGAAGGCTGAGGCGGAAGGATCACCGGAGCCCAGCAGGTCAAGGCTGCGGTGGCCAGGAGCGGCCACTGCACTCCAGTTTGGGCGACAGAGTGAGACTCCAACTCAAATAAAAAAAAAAAAAAAAAAAAAAGAACAAATAAAGTTCATAAGCTCTAACAATATAAGTCGTTGGTGACCTTTTTTTAAAGGTGGTTTAACGTGAAATATAGTTGGAGTCAAAACCAGAGTATAAAAGCCTAGGGATTGCCAGGCTCGGTGGCTCAGCCTGTAATCCCGTGCCTTTCGGAGGCTGAGGTGAGTGGATTGCTTGAGCCCGCGGGTTCGAGACCCGCC